TTGTTTCAATAGGTTCAAAATCTTTTACCAATCCACGAGGTTCCTTCAATATATATTCTGCATATTCCCTTAATGAAGGAAACTTGTGGATTGGAAGAAGATTTTGAACCTATTGAAACAAACATCAATAACCTGTGCTATACTGACACACTACTCTGGTAGCTGAAAGTGCAAATAATCTGCAAGCTCTAACAATGAAAGTCAATGAAAAGATGAGACTAAGCTTTAAAATATAACAAAACACAATACTAATGACAACATGTACAGGAACCTGGCAATGAAGATGCTGAAGGTGGACAGTTTTTATCTTTTAGGATCATCTATAAATAGTAAGATGGGACAAGGTGGCTTAGTGGCTAAAATGCTGAGCTTGTCGATGAGAAAGATCGGCAGTTCAGTGGTTCAAATCTCTATTATGCCGGACACATGACCACAAAGATGTCTTCAGACAGCACTGGCTCTTCAGCTTTGAAACACAGATGAGCCCCCTAGAGTCAGGAATGACTAGCACATATGTGCGAGGGGAACCTTTACCTATGAATAGTAAAGGCACAATCAAGAAATAGGCTGCAGACTAGCAGTTGGCTGGATAGCAATGAAAGCTTTGGGGAAAATATTCAGGTATCAGGATGTATCTATATCTACAAAGATTCGAATCATGCAGAGAATGGTTTTTCCTGTGGCAGTCTATGGAAGGGAAAGTTGGAGTTTGAGAAAGGATCAAAGAAATATTGATACTTTTGAACACTGGTGCTGGAGAAGACCCTTGAGAATATCATGGATAGATAGCAAAGCACCAAACAAAAGGATCATACAGTAGAAGAAATCAATCTAAAGTTTTCACTCGAGGCATAAATGCCTTAAATTTATGATTTTTTTTAATACATTATGTGAAAACCTAGCTCTCTAGAGAAGGTTGTTAACTTGCAGCTCCAGGAATGAATTATCTGGCCCTTTTTCAATTGGGTTTCAGACCAAAATATAGCACTGAGATAGCTTTAATCACACTTAACGTAGTTAACCAATGGCAAGACTAAGATGAGTGGTGCATTCATCCTGACTGTTATTGTTTCCACAAAGTCAGAAGACTCTGGCATGCCCACTCCAGACAAATGTTACCTCAGAAATCCAGAAATAATAAGAGTCTGATCCTGATTCCATCAATATAGACTTGGATCACCTTGATACTGATTGGCTTGCCTTGGATTCAAATGGAGAGCAGTGTGTTGGTTATGGGCTTATATCCAACCACCAATATAGACACTCTTTTGTTAACAGTAATGTCTATTTCATTTAGTCTCTTAGCTTCTCATCCAAAATATCTGACACTCCTGTGATATAAGGTGCCTCTTACTAGTGCATTACAGTTCACTGATTCTCAGATGTCAGTTATCACTTTGATATTGCCTTGGTTGTAAATGTCTGCTTTGCCTTCTTGGTAGAATGATACAATGATATTCCCTTCTCTAATTAACAGTGTTTAGCCTGATTCCTCATTTATCATGATTGTCTTTCACTGGTGACCCTTCTAAGAAGTATAGCTCATAGCATAATTGGGATGTACAAGCATCCTCATGAACATAAGGTAGAAGTAGGTAGGAGTAACATCCTTGCTGAATGTTTAGAAGTCTGATTACTGTATTTTTCGGCGTATAAGACGCACCAAGATTTTGAAGAGACACATTTTTTAAAAAAAGGTTTTGCACTCCGCAGACCTCCCCAAAACAGTCCGTTTTTCACAAAAATGGGCCCATTTTTTTTAAAGGGCATGAATAACCTTTAGGAGGCTTGTAGAATGCTCCTAGGGGGTGCCCCCCACAAAATGAGCAAAAGATGGCCCATATTTCATGAAATGGGCCTGTTTTTTTGTCAAAAAAAGGGCATGCATAGCCTTTAGAAGGCTTATAGAATGCTCTGGGAATTGGGGAGGGGGCAAAATTGAGCAAAAAATGACCTGCTTTTCGCTTATTTCTGCCCTCCCCAGGCCCCAAGAGCTCTCTGAAAGCCTCCTAAAGGCTACGCACTGCCATTTTGGTGAAGGGGATGGGTTTCAGGAGGCAAAAAATGCTGTATTCAGTGTATAAGATGCACCCAGATTTTCAGCCTCTTTTTTGAGGGGAAAAAGGTGCATCTTATACTCCGAAAAATANTGGCTATGTAATAGTATACATGTGGTTATATGTTATGAAAATGAAAAAATAAAAAACTTTATATAAAAAAATATTGAAGTTAGGAAATGTGATGGTGGATTTTAGACACATAAAACAAACATAAGAATCCTGATGTTTGGGAATTTGGGCAACCCATTTCTCTCTCTCTCAAACTCAATCTAATCTTATGTAATGCTCTATAGGAGCAACGGAAAGGCTTGGTAGTTAGGAATTCTGCATGCTTTTGCCTTTTATTCAGTAATTGGCTCTGAGGATGTCACTTGTCTCCATTAGATATTTTGTTTCATCTAAACATCTTTGGGAAGCTTATAAGTAGGACATGAAAAAAAAATTATTTGTATGTTTGTCCTAACTTTCCTAATCTAGGTGCTCCTAAATTTTTGAGACATGTCAGACATTATCTGTCAGATGAATTTTTGCTAGCTGAGCCTTGATTTCAATTGCCTCTGACATTTTCCAAACATCGTGATTCCCCCCCCCCAATTATTCTTGTATTTGTACTATGTGTCCAAAATGTTTAAGCTTTAGCTGAATTATTTGTGTTTCCAGTGATCAATACTATTTTACTTCTTCTAATACTTAAGGCAAAACCTCTACACTAATCAGAAAAGTAAAGCATGAATAGAACATGGCTAAACAGAAGTGACTCTAAGTTTATTGATTGTTTGGTTATCCAACTCCCAAATCGCTTTGGGCAGCTTACAATTAGGAAAAACATAGAAAATATACACAGAGGCACACACAGAGAAACATATACACCTGTGGTGTTTTTCAATTTATTTTACTACTGGTTCACTTGCATGTTTGCACGCTTGCATGACACTTTTGCGCATGCGCAGAAGCGTCCAGATGGGTGGGCAGAGCCTCCTGCTGCCGCCACTACAGGTTTGCCCAATCCAGGGAAAACTGGCAGAAACCCACCTGTGATATACACATAAAATATATAATAAATTAGTAGAGACAATGAATCAAGGTAAGATCAACACAAAAGCAAAAGGCAAAAAAAGGAACTCTAGAATCATCCTATGTCCAAGGCTGGGTAAATAACCAAATCTTCAAATCTTTCATGAACACTATACGGGTTGGGAGTTTGGTAGACTCTCTGGATGAAGATAATTCCAGAGGGCAGGAATTCCATGCCAGACCTGGCATGTCTTCCAGATGCCACAAGATGATATTTGCTTAATTAATAAGATCAAAGATTGGCAAAGGAGTGAAACAAAGCTGCATACTTTCATTGTTAGAGCTTGCAGATTATTTGCACTTTCAGCTACCAGAGTAGTGTGTCAGTATAGCACAGGTTATTGATGTTTGTTTCAATAGGTTCAAAATCTTTTACCAATCCACGAGTTTCCTTCAATATATATTCTGCATATTCCCTTAATGAAGGAAACTTGTGGATTGGAAGAAGATTTTGA